ATCAGATTTTCAGATTGACGGAGTGTTCGCAAATTTGAAAGATTTACACCGATTGAATTTATGCAACAACAGACTGACGTCAATCAGCAACCTGACGTTTCGCGGGTTATCGAATCTCCGTGATTTGTATCTATGCAACAACTCCATCACGCACCTCGATGCTCACAGCTTCTACTCGCTGGATAAGTTGATGAGACTGGTACTCAGCAACAACAAATTGGAATCAGTTAAAGAGATGTACATTACTTCGAATCTTTTGTCATATATCGATTTATCTGAATGCTGGTTTAAAGCGGTTCCCAGGGGTCTGCCTAGCTCTCTTCATTATTTAAATTTTGGTAAAAATAATTTAACTTATTTGGATGAAGAAACATTCAACGGCTGCAGGTTTCTAAACACCTTGGTACTGAACAACAACCAAATCGAGAAGATACAATTGAAAACATTCAGAGACATGTCGTATCTGACCCATCTGTTTCTGAGCAACAATGCTTTGATGAAATTACACTGCCATTTTCCGGAGAATTTGAGACGCCTGTTTCTCGATTTCAACTCTTTAACCGAAATACCGGGAAGTTGTTTCACCGCTGATTCCAGTTTGGATACGCTATCGTTGGCCTTCAATAAAATTTCCCAACTGAATAAAAATTCTTTCATCAACGTGAAATTTCTTACAAAACTCGATCTCTCCGGCAACGAGCTTTGGATACTAAACAGCACAGCGTTTGTGAAAGTTAAAAAGTTAACCATCTTGGAATTATCGAGAAATCCAGTGAGATATATCAGAAACAACAGTTTCAGGTATTTGACGAGTCTGCAAAAGTTGCACATGTCGTACATTTCAACCGAGAAACCATTCATAGAAGCTCATGCATTTCAAGGTCTGCAAGAATTAATGGAGTTAAATTTAGATAGTAGTTCGGGTTTGATTCAGAAAATGTTGATCTCAGATGAAATTCTTTCTTCTCTTTCAACAGTGAGAATTTTGAATTTGAGAAGGTGTCAGCTGGCCGGCATTCGATACGATTTTGCTGATTTTTTCCAAAATTTGATAGTTTTAAAAATTTCAAGCAGTAGATGGTGCTGCGACAAAAAACTGCAGTGGTTTAAAAACTGGATTTCGAGTGAGAACCGTTCAAAAATAAAATTCGAACTAACGAATGAAAATGTTTGTTACTCACCAGATGAATTGAGAAATAAAAATTTATTGGATGCGAATTTTGTTGATTATGTAGACGCGGAATGTATGTACATTGAAAGTACGTTCACCTCAGCATCTTCTTCGCCGTACGAAGAACATTTCGTTGAATCGAAGCCAAACAACTTACCCGAGTTTGACGGGGAGCTTGTGGAAGATCCTTTAGAAGATTGGGATAAAAGTGCTACTACCCTTGAAACGCTCACAACAAACGATCCGGATAAAATATATCCATCGAAACAGGTGACCAAGTCATCCTACCAGGTAAAATCAATTCCAGCAGCGTCCAAACCTCTGCACCCCGTCATTCCAACTCACAAATTTTTAATAAATATTGCCACTCTCAGCCCGACTACGTTGAAAAATCAAATTGGCAATAACACTTTTAATAAAGTTTTCAAGTACGGACCACCGATGAATTCGAGCCGCGCACTTTTCTCTGCGTCCAATGACGTCCAGGGTGGTCATCTGTCGCAATCGCCACCATCATCCTTCACCTTCCTGATACTGGCTGTGGTCTTTATTTCGATAATCATCCTGATAGGGTCCCTCTTGTTGATCATAATATTCTATCTCGTTCTGAAGGCGGTTAAAATCAGGAAGGAGTGTAACATTAAAAACAAGTCAACCGAGAGCATATTATTTCACGACTCTAATGTGAACACTAAAAATAGTGATGTTCTCGTCACTTATCTCTTGAATGAAGCCGAAACGGATGATTGTTCGAAGGCAGGTCATCAACACAACTACTCAACATCATCAACGACATCAATACCGACTAATACGTTCAACACAAATACGCACGATACAACGACCAGTGCAGTTGCGGTCAGTCGGTACTTTCTGCCGATGGAGAAGCAGCTAACATTTCCACAAAAGGGAAACGATTCGGATGTCTGTTCTAGTCCTGCAATGAGTCACACAAATTTCAAAATTGCTTATAAAAGTCGCAACAATGTTGACGATAACCTCAATGTTGTTGAGAATAATTGCAACAACAACAACAACGCCAACAACGGTTTTGGTTGTAGTCGGTTTCGTGACAATGTAACATTCCTACCGGGACGTGACATCAATCACGAAGGGCCTCTGAAAGTTTATAAGTGGGCCGATTTCTGACGCGGTGATTGGTTGAATGGATTTGTTGATTGATTCATAAACAATGTGGTTGGTAGGTTGGCTACTGGCTGACTGACTGGTTGGTTTGTTTTATTGTTTGATTGATTGATTTGGCGAAAAAGCGTGTTGGTATTTATGAAAATATTTAACGGTTAAGTTAATGAGTCTGTTTGATGAATAGATAAACAAAAACACTTATAGATCCTAGATTCCTGAGCAAACAAATGAATGATTGTTAAAAAATCTTGGATTGAATGCTTACTAAAATTTTTAACTCTAATGACTAAATGACGATTTGTAATTTTGTTACTTTATAACCTTCTTTTTGCTAATGTTAGTTAACCATTTGACTTTTTAAATCAAAACATTCATAAAGAATTTTATTTTTTCTAATCTAAACAAAATTCATCTAGAAAAATAATACCATTTTACGAATAATTCTAATATTTGTGTACACAAGCCAAACCAACCAATAAACCAATTTTACCTTAGCACACGTATACACAGACACACATAAACAAACATTCAAACACATACACACAAACACACACACACATACTTACACACATACACAAACACACATACACACAAGCCTACACACATACTTACACACAAACAAACACTTACACACAAACACACACACATACTTACAACATACACACACACACGTACACAGATACAAACACACACACATGCAAACACACATACAAACACACACACACACAAACATACACGCATATATTTGAGTACGTACGGTTTTACATAGAACAGAAAATACTTTCGTGTCATTCTGCTATCTTCAATAAAATGTTTAACGCTTCTTTGGAAATAGCAATAATAACAATAATAATAACATTAATAACAATAATAACATCAAAAATAATAACAATAATGACATTGAAAATTTATGCCAACCAAGTTTCTGTTTTTCATCAGAGTTTTCACAAAAAAAAATTTTAAATCCGATAAATTTTCTAACCTCATTTGGTAAAATAATAAAAATTATAATCATAATTATAACAATATAATTAAAATAATAATAATAATGATAATAATGATAATTATAATGATGATGATAATAATAATAACAAATCTCGTAAGAAGATGTGTAACTGAAGAATAAAATTGAAAGGCGGTAAAATGGTGATAAAATATTTGTTGGGAGTTGGGTGTTACAATATTTCTATACGG